ATATATACCTGTATATATACCTGTTCTAAACATCTAAATTCCATATCAAAACATTTACTCGTGTAAAACAAAATCAACTCGATACCAATTTATCAGAACATCTTGAATGTAACTGGTACACTCAATAGTGCATGTAGAATATAAGTTTCGAAGACATGTGAATTATTTTTCTTCCTTCTTTCAATCCATAATAGAAGGGTTCTGTGTAGACCTATTAACCCGATCGAGGGTTTGCTTTTTTTTTTTATTTGTCCAGGACAAGATTTTCTCAAGTTCTGAATACTCAAAACCTTATCTTGAATAACTTCTCTGTCTGTTTGACACAGAGGGATTGTTTTATTTCTTTGCCTATCAATTTAATGAATCAGAGCTGAATGGCAATCTCACTTTGTGTTTCGGTCTTTCCATAATAACATCCCGGTTTTGCGCAGCACGTGAAAGTTGTTCCAGTCAGAGGGCTCAATCGACTTTAGTCAGACAACTCTGGGGAAAGTTTGTCTCAACTATTGTTATGGTAAACAAGAATTCCACGGAAGTGGATGTGTCGCCTGCACAGGAAGCTGGGAGATTACGAAGAAATAGATACACTTTTCATTTCAAGAAATAATGTTAAAAGTTATTTACTATTTATAGTAACAGTGACCTTGACCTTTGACCTTCAGATCTGAAAAGCAATCCCAAGCAAGCACTTTTTGTAAGGAAGCACTGCATGAAGTTTGAGTTTGATCGGCCCAAGGAACCTCAAGTTAATGCACGAAAACAGATTTTTCTATTTATAGTAACAGTGACCTTGACCCTTGACCTTCGGACCAGAAAAGCAATCCCAAGCAAGCACTTTTGGTAAGGAAGCACTGCAAGTTTAATCGGCCCAAGGAAACTCAAGTTATCGCACGAAAACCTCTGTGCGGACGACGCCGCCGACATAGCAATACCTATGTGTCACTAGCTTTTCGCAGGCGACACCAAAACCGTCCTAACAGTTACATGGATGAGATCATAAACGGAGTTACACTATCATAAATGTCATTGTTCTTTCCAGAACGAGAAGAGTCACGACGCGTGAAGTACAGCTGTTATATTCTGTAAACAAAAGTATTGTTACTACACGTGTCTTTGCATCGCATGTACAAAACTCGGTGCACGTGGGATTGGTTTCACATGCAGGTCTTTTAACAATGTTTGGAAACTAAGATAAAAATATAGGGCAAGCATTTTGGCTGACTTACAAACAATTACATAATTGTATATTTACTGACGGAATGAATTCCCAGCTATTTCTATCCACAGTTAAACAACAGGAAACGAGGGATCATGGAGCGACACGAAATGAGCTATAGCCGCAGAGAATAGATATTTCAATGTTGTGGTTTGAATTTTAGTATCAATGAAATGTCTAAAAGCGCTCGTAGGACTCAAACAAATTTAGTTGTATTCTCTATTTAATCACATTTGTAGTGTGGAATATGAGAACACAAATTACGATTTGATATCTGTGTGATGTGTTGATGTCTATTAGACTTCTGTAAAGAACACTTTGAACAGGGATGGAATGCATGTATATGATGTGATCAAATTTCATGGCCAATATTCTATATGTGAGCGCAGCATAAGTTGAACTTTGTTTGGAAACGATTCCAAAAACTGAAGAGGAAACGGCTAAATGCCAATTCGAAAATTTCTCACGTAAATCGTATAGAGTGTAAAATGTATCGACAGCTTACATGACCTCGAGAGGTTTCTAAACAATTTCACACGTGGCAAAGGGAAAACACGAATTCTATCACACAGCTACATTCCTGGTATATCATTTGGATTACTAACTACTTGTTCAAAGATAAACTGTCTTCCTGGTTTTGTTTTTAATTATGGCTCAACCTTAGAATCATGCAGAGGGCGATACACTGATAGTTGTAAAATTGGCATTTTGATTTGTGCCTCAAATACCAAATTTGAGGTTTAAAACACAGGGACCTATGAATTTACAGTTATATTTGGACCTAGACGCAGGTGTCCAGAGTATTTTTACAAATTTTAGCGGTTATTTAGATATTTGGGGGAAATGACATCCCATCTATGGCCATTATATGTACGCTTACAGAAAATTAAACCCAATTATTTAGAGGGTGTCATTTTTACCGAAAATTGATCTAAACCCATAAAACAAGTAAAATTTAGGTTCAAGAATAGCTGTATCGAATTCTCAGGTCCCTGTTGTTAAAAAAACACATGCGTGAAACCAGGAATGGGAAAACTAAATTCGGTGTTGGAAGTCGGACCCATGCATCAGAAACGTGCACCGGAAGCACATTAAATGCGGAGCCACAAATCGCTTTTAAAAAACAATAATGTTCAGCTATTTCCGTACATTCCCTGCTATTTCTGTTAACACAACGTCAAATTGTGAGTTTTAGAGAAGGAAATTGACTTCAACGGACGTAACTGAAGAAGCTTTAAAAGACAAAAATAAACCCGGCTAAAGTTATTTTTGTTCACTGATAAGCATTTGTTTCCCAAATAATACAATGGATTGTTCACAGACGGGAACACATTTAGAAAACAACTATGATATATAGCCATTCCGAAACAAACAAATATCAAAAGAAAGAAAAAATTACAAGCGTCTATCTGATAACGATGCTTGGAGATACCACGGACTTAGATAACATCTAATTCCGTGGAGATACCCACTTTTATGTCTTGACTGCCTCTGCATTGATGGTTGTCATGGTTACTCTGGTGCTTGTTGCTACTGCTGCTACTGTGGCTGGGACCTAAAGAAAAACATTAACAGAATTGTTAAAGTTCACGCTGAACAACTAAGATACACAAGAGCAATGCTTCAAATTATATCAAGGACGTCCCTGCGGAATGCCATTCAATGTATCTGTCCCTTACACTGAAGGTTTAGCATCAAACGCCCATTGATCATATTTTGTCAATTTCACATTGTGTTTATTACATATACGTAGAATGCCTATACCCTATTGTAAAGTCTAACATTCCTGATTACGATAATAGTTTCACACTAAAACTGCGGAAATGCGAGTCGAACAACCTAAAGGTATTCAAATGTATTTCTGATGAACAGGCAGTATGAAAGATCAACTGAATTTAATTTACAACGGGTTTATTAAAATCTATAGAATCGCGCGGTGTGTCTTAATGTGGAAACGGGAGAAAAACCCATATTGTTGAGCAGGTGACCCAACCATGACTGTTTTCTTTGACTATTGTGCACGCATTTACTCTAATGTACGAATATATAAATGTACCTTGTAATGCAGTGATAGTGAGTAGGCCTGTACTTATCCCCATCACAACATGAATCAATGGATTTATAGCAATTCCAATTAGCACTCTAAGACGATCGTAAACAGCTACATAAATGCACTCATTTGACTTAATAACTGGGTACAGATGAGCGTTTGAGTCCGACATATCAGAGGAACGTCCACAACAAGCACCTCAATGATGCTGACCTCATATTATTGGTTTGATGTTTTCATACGGTTGATGACAAGGGGATGAGGTCATTTTAATGCGGTTTGAATATCAACGTCTTTGTCATTAATAAAAGCGGGGCAAGCCACATGCCAATGAGTGTTTCGTTCAGTTTTTGCACTGTCCACTAGCGATTTTTGATGAAACATGGGCAGGTTAAATACCGCTCCTTGGTGCAAACCATTATATAATTAGCTAATGATGTAATAGCCTGTCCTACACCAGATCCAGTGACAGCTATATACTGAGGCTGTACAAATACCGACTTATAATGATGTCAACAGTACATCGGCATCAATAGCCTGAGTGCCCTCTGGCCCTGACACCACACTAAGGCATTATGACAGATAGATGTCTGGTGTGGGGCCCGAACACCAGACATCTATCTGTCAAAATGTTTAAATCTGGTGTCAGGGTCAGAGGAAACTCGGGCCACGGCATCAATGGCTAATGACACAGAATCATTTCGCTAGATGATTTGAGAAGGAGACTATCCTTCTACAAGAAGATACAAGCTTGATTCAGTTTTATTTTGCAACATTGCTGTGCAACGGAGTGGAAAAAAGGTAAAATAAAGTCTTGGGTAAAAATGATACTGATATGTTGTATAAATATAGGATTTTACATTCCAATAGGTACATCTCGAAAATAAGTGGCCGTCTCACTTTTTATTACACTATTTTCATATAAAGATTGCTCATATCAAAATATTCGACTGTTGTCTTGATGTCACGAAACCGAAATCTTGTTTTCAAGTGGTTTCTATTTAGTAGTTCTTAACGTAAAATATATTTTTTATACAAAAAGTATTTGATAATACAAGTATCTTTCTTTTATACAAATAGGACTCTTTTTTTAATATTAGAGACGTTATTTTTCATGTATCATTTTGTTTTTATTTTTGACATTAACAATTTGTCTTCGATGTCAAGTATTCATTTTGAATTATGAAAAAACAAGTTCTTGATATCAATAAAAAGGGAATTTAGTAACACTTAACAACGCCTCATAACGATGACATTTCACCGTTACAGCAAATAGCATTAGAAAGAGCCCATATGTAAAGAAAATATACAATTTGTTACGAAGCAAGTAAAAACACATCAGTACTATATAGAAATGCACGATAGGGCGCGTGCATTGTGTGTATTACAGAATGGTTTACCGCCGACAGCGTTCGGCTAAACGGGACGATCTGATGAGTCGGTGTTTATAGCACACTTCTAGAAATACCAGATTGTATATGCGTATACTTTATATTATCCCCAGCATATGTGGTTAATCACGCCAGTTATTTATAGATAAAACAATTACTTTCTCGTTCATAGAGCAACCAGTTAAGCATTCCTTATTGATACGTCTTCAGCATCAATCGACGCACGTGCTGAACGTTTAGAATCCACCCACGTAAGTTCGGATGTTATTTTTATTAATGTAAATACTTCACTTTAAATAAAAAGAAAACATTTCGAGAATTAACCAAAACACGACATGAAAATAAGACCTTTAAATACAATGTAATTGTTTTATGTTAATATTTTTGGTTTTAGAAATTAATTCAAGGGTTTAGTCATCAATTTATGTTTGGAACTAAACTGATATGAGTAATAAAAGGAGTGGTATGTGTCCCCCACCCAAGTGATGGTATGTTCTGGATTACAAAGAGGTAAAATGGGAAGCTGAAGCAAAGCAGAATGCAAAGAGGGAATAGGAGAAACAAAAAAGGAATCGGATTAAAAAGATGGAATACGGCAAATCAAAGAAAAACATAATACAAAGAGGGAATACGATGGACCAAAACAAAACGATATACAAAGAGGGAATACGATAGACCAAAACAAAACGAAATACAAAGAGGTAATACGAGAAACTAAAAACAAAACGAAATACAAAGAGGGAATACGAGAAACTCAAACAAAACGGAATGCAAAGAGGTAATACGAGAAACTAAAAACAAAACGAAATACAGAAAGGGAATACGAGAAACTAAAAACAAGACGTACAAAGAGGGAATACGATAGACCAAAACAAAATGAAATACAAAGAGGTAATACGAGAAACTAGAAACAAAACGAAATACAAAGAGAGAACACGATAGACCAAAACAAAACGGAATACATAGAGGTAATACGATAGACCAAAACAAAACGGAATACATAGAGGTAATACGATAGACCAAAACAAAACGAAATAAATAGAGGTAATACGATAGACCAAAACAAAACGAACTACAAAGAGGGAATACGAGAAACCAAAACAAAACGAACTACAAAGAGGGAATACGAGAAACCAAAACAAAACGAACTACAAAGAGGGAAAACGAGAAACTCAAACAAAACGGAATGCAAAGAGGTAATACGAAAAACTAAAAACAAAACGAAAAACAGAAAGGGAATACGAGAAACTAAAAACAAAACGAAATCCAGAAAGGGAATACGAGAAACTAAAAACAAGACGTACAAAGAGGGAATACGATAGACCAAAACAAAATGAAATACAAAGAGGTAATACGAGAAACTAAAAACAAAACGAAATACAAAGAGGGAATCCGAGAAACTAAAAACAAAACGAAATACAAAGAGGTAATACGAGAAACTAGAAACAAAACGAAATACAAAGAGAGAACACGATAGACCAAAACAAAACGGAATACAAATAAGGAATACGATAGACTAAAACAAAACGAAATACAAAGAGGGAAAACGAGAGACTAAAAACAAAACGAAATACAAAGAGGTAATACGAGAAACTAAAAACAAAACGAAATTCAGAAAGGGAATACGAGAAACTAAAAACAAAACGAAATTCAGAAAGGGAATACGAGAAACTAAAAACAAGACGTACAAAGAGGGAATACGATAGACCAAAACAAAACGAAATACAAAGAGGGAAAACGAGAAACTAAAAACAAAACGAAATACAAAGAGGGAATACGAGAAACTAAAAACAAAACGAAATATAAAGAGGGAATCCGATAGAGCAAAACAAAACGAAATACAAAGAGGGAATACGAGAAACTAAAAACAAAACGAAATACAAAGAGGGAATACGATAGACCAAAACAAAACGAAATATAAAGAGGGGATACGAGAAACTAAAAACAAAACGAAATAAAAAGAGGTAATACGAGAAACTAAAAACAAAACGAACTACAAAGAGGTAATACGAGAAACCAAAACAAAACGAACTACAAAGAGGGAAAACGAGAAACTCAAACAAAACGGAATGCAAAGAGGGAATACGATAGACCAAAACAAAACGAAATACAAAGAGGGAAAACGAGAAACTCAAACAAAACGGAATACAAAGTGGGAATACGAGAAACTAAAAACAAAACGAAATACAAAGAGGGAATACGATAGACTAAAACAAAACGAAATACAAAGAGGGAATACGATAGACCAAAACAAAACGAAATACAAAGAGAGAATACGATAGACCAAAACAAAACGGAATACAAAGAGGGAATACGGGAAACTAAAAACGAAACGAAATACAAAGAGAGAATACGATAGACCAAAACAAAACGGAATACAAAGAAGGAATACGATAGACCAAAACAAAACGGAATACAAAGAGGGAATACGATAGACCAAAACAAAACGGAATACAAAGAGGGAATACGAGAAACAAAAACAAAACGAAATACAAAGAGAGAACACGATAGACCAAAACAAAACGGAATACAAATAAGGAATACGATAGACTAAAACAAAACGGTATACAAAGAAGAAATACAAGAAACTAAAAACAAAACGGAATACGAAGAGGGAATACGGGAAACTAAAAACAAAACGAAATACAAAGAGAGAATACGATAGACCAAAACAAAACGGAATACAAAGAAGGAATACGATAGACCAAAACAAAACGGAATACAAAGAGGGAATACGAGAAACAAAAACAAAACGAAATACAAAGAGAGAACACGATAGACCAAAACAAAACGGAATACAAATAAGGAATACGATAGACTAAAACAAAACGGTATACAAAGAAGAAATACAAGAAACTAAAAACAAAACGGAATACGAAGAGGGAATACGGGAAACTAAAAACAAAACGAAATACAAAGAGAGAATACGATAGACCAAAACAAAACGGAATACAAAGAAGGAATACGATAGACCAAAACAAAACGGAATACAAAGAGGGAATACGAGAAACTAAAAACAAAACGAAATACAAAGAGAGAATACGATAGACCAAAACAAAACGGAATACAAAGAAGGAATACGATAGACCAAAACAAAACGGAATACAAAGAGGGAATACGGGAAACTAAAAACAAAACGAAATACAAAGAGAGAATACGATAGACCAAAACAAAACGGAATACAAAGAAGGAATACGATAGACCAAAACAAAACGGAATACAAAGAGGGAATACGGGAAACTAAAAACAAAACGAAATACAAAGAGAGAATACGATAGACCAAAACAAAACGGAATACAAAGAGGGAATACGATAGACTAAAACAAAACGGTATACAAAGAAGAAATACGAGAAACTAAAAACAAAACGGAATACAAAGAGGGAATACGAGAAACAAAAACAAAACGGAATACAAAGAGGGAATACGATAAAAAAAGTTATCGCATTATATCATTTAAGAAATTTGAAGAATCAAACACTGTTATTCAGACCAATTGTATTTTTTTTCAAATTATATTTAAAGGTCTTTGAAATAATAGTATAGGTTTTAATACCAGCCTATGAAAAGAGAGGTGTCATTAGGACGCTTACAATTTTCGGCACGTTCATATGGGACATTTTAGTGCATCAAATGAGATGAAATTGTTAAGATCGGATGCAAAAACTAGGGTCGGTCGGGGACATGAAAAATACATATTTTTTTATTTTGGCCTAAGAGAAAACACAATAGAAGCAATGAACAATTAACAGATTCGGTCATTACGATGGCATTTCAGTAAAATCACAAGTATCCAAATATCAGATCGGCTAGGCTGCTGATTCAGTAAAAATAAATAACATAAGCCAGCATCTTTACCAGTATTTGCGTCATAGTCGATTATATAAATCCCGCGCTATCAGTTTGCATCGTAATCGAGCGACGTTTGGTATATATACCATGATACATTCCTGTGTTTCGTACAGATAACTTAATGTAGGTAGTTCTACAGAAGTATACATGTGTAGCAGACGTACACCACAAAACTGAATTAGCCTACTTTTCATTCATAAACACAACAGGATTTGATTGTGATTGAGGCTATGCTGTTCTGCCTTCGTCAAAGGATGAAATCATTTCTCCCGAATGATTCAACATTTACCTATCTTACGAATTTTGTTTTTGTTTTAAAGGAAAACGATAAAACAACGCACACGATAAAACAACGCTCACAAACAACGCTCACGATAAAACGACGCTCAGTTCTCTTTAAATCAATCTCTATGTGTCTATACATGGAGTTAGTAATTTTCTGCTTTCGAACAGATTTTCTTTTTTCAAATTTCTTACAAGCTATAGAACTATATTAGAAACATGAAATGAATGATCATTTTTATCTTCCAAACTTTATTACACTATTTACCTTTACAGCCGGCCGATGAAGCTATCACACCAAACATATTGCCTGTTGAGTTTTCGTAATGGAATCGTGTCTGTGCTATCACTGGTGTCAATCAGTGTTCAGAATCACATCTGCTCTCCACGACGAATACACGGTAAATACACGTCGGTCTATCCAGTCACATCTCCTCGACATCTTAGTGGGTTATATTCGGGACTAGTTGTCGGCAATATTCCCAAAAATCCCAGTGTCCTCTTCTAACACGTCAGAGCTGTATACCTTACCTTAGAACAACGGGTAAATCACGCGCGGCATTCAGCACGTTCTAATATACACATAGGTGTATGCTAATGGTCTATGTATCACTCTGTGGTTATTGAAGCAAGTGTTTCTAGTTTAAATGATGTCTTTGTATGATATGTTTGCTGTTTGTTTTAGATTTCTTTTCAATAACACAAATTACCTGGTTACCTGTGGATTGTTGCGCGCGTAACTACGTTAGGGATGTAGTGGTACGTAGGAGCCCCTGGAGATAGCTGCATGCTGACTTTCTTACACTGCAAAAAAATAAAGCAGTTCAAAAGGAACCGCCCCTCTGTTAAAGTACGGATGCAGAGGAGTAGAACACAAATCGTCGGCAAAAGCAACTGTTTCGACCGTTCGTTCTTGCGCCGACCTTACATGTATGATTAAGAATGATGAAGGTCAAAGGTTAAAGAAAGCAATCTCAAAGGAACGGTACAAAATGTATATTTCCACCGGTGACCTAAAATGTATATTTCCACCGGCGATCATCTGGGTGGTCGGGTGGCACAGTGGATAACGCACTCTCCTTTCACCAAGGCGACCGGGGTTCGATCCCCCGATCGGACGTGAAAAGGTATGTGGTCACCTGCCCGACCATATGGGTTTTATTTGGGCACTCCTGTTTCCTCCCACATTAAGACCCCCGCGCGCTAACACCCGGACCAACAAGAATGTTAATAAAAGTTACAATAACTTGTTTTATAATTGTTGGAAAATAACTAATAAAGTTTATATACAGGTGATCACCAATATGCACGAGGGTTGTAGTGGTTAAAGGTGAAAGGTCAAGGTAGTAAGATCACTTAGCGGTTTTGAAACAAGTTTTTTTTAAAGTAGTATGACGGTCTGGTAAATATCAATTCTGCAATGTCTTGGGTGGTCAGGTGACGCAGTGAATAGCGCTTTTCATCCTTAAAGAGGACGCCCGGGGTTAATTTTCCGATCGGACGATCGGGTCACCAGCCCGACCACGTGGGTTTTCTCCGTTAGACACCCCCAGCTAGCTCCCCCTCCTGCGCTGCGATAATTTTGCCAACAAGAGGAATTTGTCCGTTTATATCACTTGCTGTATATTTGTTGAAAAAAGAAGTAAAGAAAGCCTGTTTATAGGGTCGGCCTGTACGCCTTCTAAAGCTTTTTTAAAGGTGGTGTTTTTTATGATATGGCCTACTGTGTGCAGTGAAGGTCTAATAACACCAGAAGATTTTGCTCGTAACTTTTAAGATTGCTCCAAATAAACCTATCAACTCAAAAACGGTGTTATAAATGCATACCAAGAAGGGCCACTTCACGTGGTTTCAATTTGGAAATCATCCGTATTCAGAAAACCGTTCTCATGCTCAAACATGGATTTTGTGCTCAAGCCTAATTTGTTCTGGTTATAAATTAATAAGCAAATCTTATTTCGTCAATGATTTGGACAATTTTTAAGGAGACTTAAACCCTTAAACCCAAATACTGTTTTCAATGTTTACATTTGACTTTTTGATCGGTTGACATGATTTAAGCACACAATTCATGTTTGAGCAAGAAAACTGTTTCATGCATACAGATATCTTGGACCAATCAATTCGTAGCGTCATATTTATACTTTGATGGCAATTCCAAATTGACTTCTGATTGCGAATGGTATTTTTTTTTTTACGTGACAAGAAAAGTGGTTGTTCCAAACAGTTTGTTTAAAGTGTATCATCATTCAAAAGAATATGAAAAGATAAAATAAAATTTAATTTTCTTTGATGATTTTGATAAACATTTTATACGCATTTTCGTAAAAATCTTCATGGTATAAAACCCATTTCCTCACACATTCCAGAATGCATGGTATGATAAGAGTTAATAGGACCACTCTCAGCCACTTTTGCGTAATAACATTTAGCGCTGCACACTACCAGAAAATGCAATAATTAACAAGTTTTAATTGTAACGCACAGTTAAAGAGGTCCCCGAAACTGACCCTGTAGTCGCTAATTATGTATTTAAATGAATTTGTATTGCTGTAATATCCTTACATAGAAAGGGAAAAAAACAACAACAGAAAAGGACCGTTGGCATCACCTTGGCGCACACCTATAAATGTATCAATCAATTATAGGCCAATGTGGCTATGTTTAATGACCGACCTAAAGTGATGTGTGTTACTGTCATCTTCACATGCCCAATCATCCTCATGTGGAATTTCGAAAGTATCCGGCCAGCAGTTTTTGTGAAAAAATGCCGGAAAGGAAAAGAAGAAGTAAAGAAGAAACGCAGGAAAATATATCGGTCCTCTCTTCGTTTGAGGGACTTTTAAATGAATGAGATACCTCTGTAGCCGTGATCGCTAACGCGCAGTCATTCTACTGTGTGCAATTAAGCGTTATCTTCAGGCCTCCCACCAGCGGGGGCGGAAAAAGAGAGTGATGAGTTGTTATGATGGTACGGTGGTTTTCCCCTGTGGGTTTTCCTCCATCACGAAAACAACATGTGTTCCCTTTAAGGCGTCGTTTGTTGTTGACAATGTATATGACGTTAATTAATAAAAAAAAAGTGTATAGGGTCAGCGTCTTTTTAGAGCTTATCTCCTTGCTCGCACAACGTGCAAACTGATCACCCCGCCCTTTTCTGTCACATGACATATGACTTATTACATATTACAGCAAACTGGGAGTCGAAACGCCTACAAATGAATCGAGACTGAAAGACAGGTCATTACATGTAGTTACACAATGACGTAACGCATAGCAGGTGATATAAAGCACAGGGACATGAGAATGTGTTACAGTTCTAGGGCCTTGAAACAACTCTCGGTAAAAAAAACAACTCCACTCCAATGATGGAAACCTCTCGATGAGGAAAATTCAACCCTACTTAAATTCCTCACATCAAACACCACATTTATTGTGGATGGAAAGTTCTTGGCAATGTCACAAAGATTGGTGATTGTCTTTCACAAACCTGTTAAATTTACAATAAGTGGATTATTCTGGCTTCTTTAGACATGATCTCACTGTCCTCCAAAAATACACGCCATTTTTTTTTTTACGAGATTGACGTCAGCCTCGCGCGACGACTTCCAATCTAATATTACTCTTTACACATCAGGATAGGTCCAAACACATGTCCACTGTGAAAAAATCCTCAGCTCCCTCTGATATAAAGGCGTTTGGTACGAGAACTCTGGCGACTAGCTAAATAGTTGTTGACGTGAATAGGGTGCAGGCTGTGACGCAATCATGTATACTATGTCTTTACACTACACAAGTGTCAAGCACGGGTATGTAGTGTGACCCCCATGTGTTGGCGCACAGGTGCCCGACACACAAAATTATATAGTGTGTATGCAATATGTATACACCCATATATTTGTGTGTCCAGCACCTGTGTTCTAGAACACGGCTGTACCGCTTCTCGGTTGGTAATATTTCATTCATACTCTGCGCGCTGTGCCAAGAGAATGGAACATATATATAATAAGGAATTCTGACGTAATAAAACAAGGGACTTTAATGGTCTTGCATCGCATCACACACTTAACTAGATTGAAATCTGTTCGTGTAGTTTTGGGAGATATCTCCCAGAAATCATGTTAGCCGCGTTATCGCTTTGGCTTTTGATCCTCAATGGCTAACGATGTTGTCTATAGTTTGGTTGAAATCTGCCAATCAGTTTAGGAATAAATGTCGTGTAAAGCGAACCAGCTAATACCTGCCCACTAGCCTCCGTGGGGACAGTCTGTTCAAGATTTGTAATATGATTTGTTTGAAATCTGCCTATGAGTTTTCGACCTTAAAACAAATCAGCCAATTTGACCCCTCTTGACCCCGCCTCTTTATTTATATAACACTTGATCTGCATTGGCTGATGTGATAGCATTACAATACGGTTGAAATATGTCTAGTTGTTTGGTAGAATTTGTCGTAACTTACAACAAACTAGGCAATTTCTCCCCTTTTAACCCGACCCTCAGCCAAAAGGAGTTCACAGGGCCAGCCCCTTTACTTGTCTTAGTTTTGACATAAATGACCAAAAAGATGCTGCCTTTATAATTTGGTTGAGTTCCCCATAGTAGGTTTGGTAAGAGATGTCGTTTCATGCAAAAAGTAACAGACGACAGATGACGGACGCATTACCGACCTGTAAGTTTACCGTGGTACATTGTACAGGGTGAACTAATGATACATTTATTCTGAAAATGTCGAAGACTTAGAGTGTTGATTTCGAGACAAATACGAGAAATTTGTTATATCTACAGGGTAGGTTTGACAAGCAATGCTCGTTGTTACGATAATTTCACGTTGACAACTATTCACTGCGAAAAACATTCGGGTCTGATAACCATTTTCGAGGAATAAACAATGTACTATACAGTCAAAACAAAAGGTTCCCAGACTGTTTCTAGTAACGACTGCGGAAGGTGTTATCATGGCTTGAACTCATCGATTTCTAGTTCTACAGGTCGGGTAGAACGTCTGGAGTGCTCGAATGTTTAATATGTTTGTCGGCGTTGAGCGCTTTAAGCCATAACAGCGACTTTGAACTTACTAGAAACAGAGATTTTGTATTTGATACTTTCATTGGTGCAATAATTGATAGCATTCCGGAAACAATCTAGTACAAACATTTCCAACAAGCCGACCATTGTTGTTCACAAGCATTGCAGAGAGCGAAAGTGAGCGTAACCCCTGGAGTATTCCACTGTGAGGAGGAACAAATGTATTACAGTATAAAATACAGTTTACGTTCAAACGAGATTAACCAACAACTCGCTCACATTTACGTGTGAAAACATCGTTTAGCACATTTAAACAATTTTAACGTGTCAAATGCTTCCGTTAAAGTAGCATTTTACAAGATAAATGTTGTTTAAGGCGCTGCCACAAACGTATTATTTTATCTTTCGGCATGGACGGTCTTAGTATATCAATTTACTAAATCGGGAACTGTCAGTACTTGCTGTAAATGAATATATCTTCGGCTGATTCCGTAGGTATGGAAAATCTGTTGAGTTATGACGAGTGGCAGTTTTTCGTTTACGTCATGTGACGACAGTTGCCGATTATCAAATAGGAAAAAGCAGTTCGAATCAGTTGCAGGTCGAGCGTCCAGAATCGATGTCGTTATATCGCTAAATATTGGCTGGCGCAGTGGTAACGTACTCGCATTTTAGCAAGCCAACCGGTGTTGGATTCCCC